TGAGATGCTGTCCCTCAGCTCTTCAGCTCAATGCTAGCCCTCTACCACTTGAGCCACAATGCCATTTCCAGTTTTCTGGTGGTTTATTGGAGATAAGAATTTCTTGGCTTTTCCTGCCTGGGCTGGCTTTGAACCATGATCCTCGGATCTCAGCCTCCTGAGTAGCTAGGATTACAGGTATGAGCCACTGGTGCCCGTCAAATTGTCCATTCTCGGGGATGAACAGATAGATGAAGTTGAATGGTTTTTACTCCAAGATTCTTTTAATATGATAAAAGCAGCTGAATTGACAAATTGTACTTTAGTTTTGGATATAGAATAGTCAAGATAATTTAGGTATATACACATGCTAATTTACATACATGCTTTGCCTCCAGTGAAAATCAGGAAAGGCTTCTGGCAAGTGAAGGGGAGAGAAAGAGGTTAGACTGGAGTGAAGGGAAAAGGTAGGGGATAAAGGGAGTGAGGTAGAAACTGTAGCCTGGAATGAAGATGAGGGAGCTGCTGGAATTTGGACCTGAGAATGTGAAGGTGATAAGAGTCCAGCTCTGGAGCACATTGGGGACCGAGAAGCAGCAGCAGCTCTAGCTACATTGCTGTTCTAGTCCTGGAAGGGGAAGCAGCAGCCAGGTAGCTCCAGACATGTGGCTCAGGAGAGAACAAAGTCCATAGGTAGGTGTGTCTGAATGCAGGTGGCAGTAGAGAAGAGGCGCCTTGTGAACTGTGCAGGTTACAGTGGCAGGACAGGGGTGTTGCCTGTCATAGCTCTTTCTCTAAAGGCTCCAGGGTTGGAATGAGAGGGTGTCTTTCACAGGAAGTTAATCACTAACCTTGTTGTCCACGAGAGATTTTGGACGACTGGAATTTTAATGCTAAGAGAGGCCTAGATCATTTCGTTCAACCTTGAGCAAAGTGACAGGCTCAAGGTCCCCCAGTGATTTGTTGGCAGCTCCAAGCCTAGATATCAGATCTCCTAAAATTTCCAGCCATTCCCTCTGCTGCCACCTGCGTGTTGTTCCTGCAGCGACAGTAAAGGACAAGTTTGTACTGAAACGGGTTTACAGGAAATGACTTCTAAGGGACTTTTTTTTAGATCCAAGAGTCTAAAATTCTGTGGTGTTTGATAATGCCTGGCTATATAACCTTCCACCAAGAGCCAGTATTGGGTAAGGACTGGAGAGGAAGAACTGGGTATCTTGGTGGGATAGCTCTGTTGACATTTGAGTTCCCTGTGGTTGGACTAAGGCTGAGATACTCTTGTATATCTACAAGTTTTTTTTTTCTTTCATTTCTTCTCATAATGGGAAATAGAGCCATCACACTTTTGTGTGTGTGCCAATACTACGACTTGAACTCAGGGCCTGTCACTTGGTACTGTCCCTTGGCCTTTTGATTAGGGCTGGTAGTGCTCTGCCACTTAAGCCACAGCTCTACTTCCACAATTTTGCTGGTTAACTGGAGATAAAAGTTTCATGTATTTTCCTGTTCTGGCTGGTTTTGAATGTAGTCCTCAGATCTCAGCTTCCTGAGTAGCTAGGATGACAAGCATGAGTAACCATGCTTGGCTTTAAAGCCATCTTTTAAACAAGACTTTTAAAATGATATAGATAGTGACTAGCCAAAGCCCTTAGGACCTGGTATATGGTCTATACCACATTTCCTTCAATTTCAGGAGGAGGAAGGGGGAAGTTGGGGTGGGGAGGGAGGAGAGGCTCTCCTCTTCAGTTAGAGCCAATAAGAGGATATCAGCTGCCAAGCACTCCTCCTCTTTGACTCCCTCTTCAACTCAGTCCAGACCCAACTAGCCAGGACTGCCCCTGGCTAAACACCTCTTGGACTTTAGATTCCTGTCTTCCAATTCTCAGAGAATGTTCATGGAGCACTTAGAATGGACATGTTCTGAGGGAATTTTGTTTTACCAACTGGAAAATGAGGTCAGAGAGGGAAAGAGTTATTTCTACATTCCCAAGGAGCTGGTGGCCTCATCAGATGTCCTACCTCTTTGAATGTGCTTGACAGCTAAAGAGATCTTTGGGACTGCATTGTCTAGTTTGATAGTCAGTAGCCTTGTATGGCTGTGGAGTGCTTGACATGTGGTTAGTATGAATTGAAATGTGCTTTAAGTGTACAGTTCACACTGGATTTCAACATAAAGTGTAAAATAGTTCAGTGTTTTTATATAGATTACCTGTTGAGATGATGATATTTTGGATATATTGTATTAAATAGAATATATCATTAGGGTTAATTTGACCTTTTTTTGTTTTGGGATGGAGTCTTACTGTGTTGCCCAGGTTGTCCTTGAACTTTAGATCTTCCTATCAGCCTTCTCAATAGTTGGAATTGCAGGCTCATGCTGCCCTGCCCAGCTTTACATGTTTCTCTCTCTCTCTCTCTCTGCACAGTATTGGGGCTTGAACTCTAGGCCTCCCGTTATTACTTGGCTTTTTTACTCAAGGTAGGTACTCTACTGTTTGAACCACATTTCCACTTCTGGCTTTTGGGTAATTAATTGGAAATAAGAGCTTCATGGATTCTCCAGCCAGGGCTGGCTTCAAACTGTGATCATCGGATCTCAGGCTCATGAGTAGCTAGGAATACAGGCATAAGCCATCAGTGTACAGCTCATATATTTCTTTATATATATATATATATATATATTTATAATGTGGCTGTTAAAAAATTAAAAATGACATATATGACTTGGATTGTGTTTCTTATGCAGAGTACTGTTTTAGAACAAAGGTGTGTTGACCAGTCAAAAAACCACATAGGTTTATCGCAGCATTATTTACCATAGCTAAGATATGGAACCAACCCAGATAGATGAATGGATCAAGAAAATGTGGTATACACACACACACACACACACACACACACACACACACAGAGGAATTCTATGCCTCCATCAGAAAGAATGGCATTGCCCCATTTGTTAGGAAATGGAAAGACTTGGAAAAAATTATATTCAGTGAAGTAAGCCAGGCCCAAAGAAACATAGGTCCCATGGTTTCCCTTATTTGCAATAACTAGTACATGTGTAGGACAAGCAGAAAAGGCCAAAAGCTATGTACCATATAAGATGATGCTAAGCGAAATGAATCCCAAGATAGGGACACAAATATCTTTTTTCTGTCTTGCTGTTGTTTCTAATGTACTTATAATGTACCATGTGATTTTTTTTTTTGTTGCTTTGTATGTTCCTCCCCTAAGGTATAACCCCTGTTTTCGCTGTATTTGATGTCAGTGCCCTGCATCCTGTATATACACTTCTCTAATTCGGGAAGGGGAAGGGAAAAAACAAAATGCTTAAAGATACAGGTTGACCCATTGTAACAATGATATGTACAAAACGCTATGTTGAAAATGAACTTTACAACTTTGGTGTGATGGGGGGGGGGTCGGGGGTTGATTAGTTGGGGAGGTGGGAGGGAAGGGATGGTAGGGGGAAAACAAAGGAGGAGGCAACAATGCTCAATAGGAAATTTACTCATTACATTGCTCATGTAACTGTAACCCCTCTGTACAACACTTTTATAATAAAAAACGTACCAAAAAAAAAAAAACCCACATGGGCAGGGTGCTGAGCAGAGGGAGAAGCAATTAGCTAGTGCACCCAGGCCTAAGCCTTGATGCCTTCCTGTGTGGAGGAAGGGCCCTCAGTAGTGTGGGAATCCTAGAGGATCTTGCTTGGCTGTGGGTATGAGGTATAGAGAGGAAATAACTGTCCAGAGGACATTACCAGAGTGAGTAAGCTTATAGATAGATTCTTTACCTAGATCTCAGAAGGGGAGGCTTTCCTGGAGAGAGAAAAATAAATCACAGTTGATTTTTTAAATTAGATGGTATGGCTACTTCTACTTAACAATTAAATTGGTGTTCCCTTGCTGGTTAGAACAAGAAAAGCTCTCTCAGCTTCACCACCACAGGTTCTTCATGGTTCTGCATCCATTCAGGCATGTGAGAGAGAGGCTGAGGATAGATAGGTTGGTGCCATAGGCAGGCACAGTCCTGGAGCCTGGTGTCCAGGCTGCCACAACTTTCTTCCTGAGACTATATTTAGGTGTTGGTGTTCAGGGAAAGGATGTGAGTTTTTCAGGATCCTGTTTATCCAGCAGACCCCACTCCACCCCCACCTTGCAGCTGTCTGTCCTCTGTGAAGTCGGGAACTTCCTCTTCCTTCCCTCCGGGCTTCAGGCACCCAAGCCCTAGAGGGACACAACGTTTTCCCATTGAGGCTCAGCATTGCTATCAATTGGTTGAGTGACACTTAGCCTGTTGTTAATTTTCTGATCTGCATTGTTTTTGTTTGTTGAGAGGAGATGCTCATACTCAACTTGCAGGAATGCTGTGTGTATAAGTGCCTGGTATCAGGCCTGGTGGTACATAAATATTGGATCCTCTGAGGTCTTCTGTGAGGCAGTGGCGAAGGGAGAAAGGTAGGAAGGAGCTTCAGTCGGAAGGACCCCAGTATCTTAGGATATCTGTTGCTTCAGTTGACATGGCTGTGGAGGAGGGGCCCATGGTGCAGTGGCCCTTCCCTTTTTCTTAGCAGCTGGGAGCCATCCCTGAGCTTTTTCACTCAAAGCAGATTCTCTACCACTTGAGCCACAGCTCCACTGCTAGCTTTTTGATAGTTAATTGGAGAGAAGAGTCTCACAGACTTCCTTGTCTAGGCTGGCTTTGAATCTCAATCCTCAGCTCTCAGCTCCTGAGTAGCTAGGATCACAGGCATTCCACCAGTGCCTGGCTTTCCCTTTTCCTTTTGTGTTTCCTTAAGTGGGTTCCGGATTGGCTTGGCACTTCCTCTTGCCAGCAGGTCAGACCTCTCCAGCACACCTTCACATTGAGCTAGAGGATGAAATGAACTGAGAAAGCCAAGTGCCCACTGCATAATTAGTGAGAGCTAGCTTGTTTATCACGTGTTTATGTCTGTACTGAAGACACAGGAAGAGGCTCCATAGAAATGACTTTTCTATGTGTTTCTATTTGCAGCAGCAAGGAGGGGGTCCAAAGGCCCTGTGCTCAGCACCTATATTCTGGAGGTGGCACCCCTAAAAACAGTACCCCATCATGTTTAACCTAATGAAGAAGGATAAGGACAAAGATGGCGGGCGGAAGGAGAAGAAAGAGAAGAAGGAGAAGAAGGAACGGATGTCAGCAGCAGAGCTACGGAGCTTGGAAGAGATGAGCCTGCGCCGTGGCTTCTTCAACCTGAACCGGTCCTCTAAGCGTGAGTCCAAGACACGCCTGGAAATCTCTAACCCCATCCCCATCAAGGTGGCCAGTGGCTCTGACCTGCACTTGACTGACATTGACTCCGATAGCAACCGGGGCAGCATCATCCTGGACTCGGGCCATCTTAGCACAGCCAGCTCCAGTGATGACCTGAAGGGTGAGGAAGGCAGCTTCCGGGGCTCTGTACTGCAGCGGGCAGCCAAGTTTGGCTCACTGGCCAAGCAGAACTCACAGATGATTGTCAAGCGCTTCTCCTTCTCCCAGCGTAGTCGAGATGAGAGCGCTTCAGAAACTTCGACCCCTTCAGAGCACTCTGCAGCCCCCTCACCACAGGTGGAGGTGAGGACGCTTGAGGGACAGCTGATGCAGCATCCTGGCCCAGGCATCCCACGGTCAAGGCCAAGGTCTCGAGTCCCTGAGCTGGTGACCAAAAGGTTCCCAGCCGACCTGCGCCTTCCCCCAGTGGTCCCCCCATCCTCCCCTGCCCTCCGGGAACTGGAGCTGCAACGAAGACCCACTGGAGATTTTGGCTTCTCCTTACGGCGCACCACCATGCTGGATCGGGGTCCTGAGGGCCAGGCCTATCGGCGAGTGGTTCACTTTGCTGAGCCAGGCGCAGGCACCAAGGATCTGGCCCTGGGGCTGGTGCCAGGAGATCGACTGGTGGAGATTAATGGGCACAATGTGGAGAGCAAATCCAGGGATGAGATCGTAGAGATGATCCGACAGTCTGGAGACAGTGTGCGGCTCAAGGTGCAGCCCATCCCAGAGCTCAGTGAGCTGAGCCGGAGCTGGCTGAGGAGCTGCGAGGGACACCGCAGGGAGCCAGCCGATGTGAGTGCTTCTCTGGGTTCCAGGGGTAAGCAGGAACCAGAAAGTCAGCATCTCTTGTTATTGTCCTGTTGACTGGGGTACCCCCAAACTGGGCAGAGTCTAAGGAGCATGGATGTAGGGAAGCTGCGCTACTGCCTGATCCCCTATGAAGGGAGGGTACTTGTTACCAGGCTGGAGGTGTTATACCTTTGTCTCTGCCTTGTCAAGAAGCTGAGGGCAAGTCCCCAAAAGTTCAGCTGGGCCTCATGTTTTGATGTCTCCTTCTTTCCTGTTGGGCTGACTTGATTGAATTTAGCATCATCCCTTTTTCAATGGTACTGAGCAAGACCAGGCTCTGCCTGAATTTCAGCTACATCCCTGATCCCTCATGAGTGATCTGATATTGATTGGTAATTGCAAAAAAAAAAAAAAAAGTACCCAGCTTCACAATACAGGTGAGGGGTTTGGGCACTATATTTTTTGAGTCTCGTTGGAATATATAGGCTAGTAGGTGCTACTTCTAGATAAGGGAGATAAAAGAACACTAAAGTATAGAAATTCCATGTTATTTAGATCTCAAAGGTTAAAAAAAAAAGACAAATGATTTCAAATCAGAGCTGTCCTGGAACATCAGGGTGTACAGCCACCATGGTTACAGCTTTTGGGGAGATAACTTCTGCTAAGACTTTCTCTTGCTCTTAAATGAACAAGGCATTGAATACCAAATGAAGGTTCAGAAGAAGCAGGATTCAGTTCTTTGAAAGCTTATAAATCATGATTGGAGTTTAGATTTTATCCCAGTGAAATGGGATCATTGAAAAATTCCAGACAGGTAGTTACAGGGTTTGATTTATTGGGCTCTAAGAGTCTTTTTTACCCTCTTGGGAAAGAAAAGGGCTCAAGGGAAAAGGGCAAGAGATCAAGCCAACAGAGATAGTGGGTCCTGGCTGTTCCTGAGATACTTTTAGGCAGGTCTCTAAGAGGAATCAAGACCTCCAAGCCCAGGGATCTTTGGGAAGGGAGTGTCCTCCCTGAGGAGAATAATGAAGGACAAGTTGGCCATCACTCCCAGCTGTTAGTTTTAGGACTGTCCAGACCTAAGTAGTACACAACCTACTCAGGGACCTTTCAGCACTGAGTGACCAGATGAGTCAAAGTCAGAAAGGGGAGGAAGTGTGTAGGAATCTGGCAAAGTCCTGTTTCAGGCTTTCTTCTGGGAGGGAAAATGTGGATGCTCAGGATGGCTGCTCAAGCTCAACCTAGCAGCACATTGGGCCTGAGGACACTGGGAGTGGCAGGGTCTGGCTCTGGCAGCATTCTCATTACTTTTACCCTGAGGCTAGTTGAGTTTGAGCAGCTGTGTGGTCAGAGAGTGATGGTGGGCAGGAGGAAGCCTGTGTGCAATCCAAGGAAGGACCTGCGCTTATTCATTCCAGAAACACATTGAGTACCTGCTGTGTGTTAGTCACCAGACTTGGCTGAACTCAGGGAACCGTGACTTAAAGGGGGAGGAAAAAGGGAAGTGTCTTTAGCTCAGAACCAAAGGTTGTAATATGCAATATACTGCCTCGCCTGTCTGCTTTCTCCCAGGCTAACATTGCTTTTAACAGATGGAATTTTCTTCTTCCAGCCTGAATCCCCCAGGGTATTGTAGCCAGCTCCCTGCTGAACCACAGCCAGGCCTTTGTTGGACCCTAGGCCTAGCATCTGGGATGCCATTGAGTTTGCTCTTTATAGCTTAGGGATCATCCTGGCATCTCACATTTCCCAGACAATTCCCGACTAGCTGCTGCCTGCTACCCCATCCCTGGGGAAGTAGGTGCTTTACCTTTGGAGATGCTGGTGGAGCCCATATTACAGCTGCTATCCCTGGAGTGCTGGTTCACTCTAGCCCCCCAAGGTGCAAGCCCAATTGGTGCCTAGAGTCTTCTTCCCCAGATCGCAGCCTAGTAGATCTATCAGGGATTCAGTAGAAAATCTCACCCCCATGAATCTTGTGCTATCATCTGGCAGCACGATGAGATCCATGGGGCTGGGGGGAAGGCATGCCTCTTCCCACTTGGGCATTGGTGAACCATGAGTGGAGAAGAGCTGGATGAGCCCAGCATTTCCAGCTTCCTGGCACAGACCCTGGGAGCTGGTGTCGGGAGGCAGCAGCCTCTTCTGTGGCTCTCATCTTCTGTCTCCTCCTCTTCCTCCACTCCTACTCCTTACTCCTTTTCTTGGCATCAGTTCTTGTCCTCAGTCTGAGCCAATAAAAGTATCGTGCTGTCTCCTGCATGCGCCTGGGTGAGGTACGGTGAGGATGGTAGCCCCCCAGGGACAGCTCCTGGCGGCCATCCTGACTTCAGGGCCATCCATCAAGTGCGTCCACACGCTGCCTGTCCCCAGGGAGCTTTGAAGGAGCTAACTAACCATCTGTTCTCTCCTCTCCTGCACACAGATGGGGGCCAAGGTCTCATAGCTCCTCTCCAAGGCCTGTTCTGAAGGCCCCAGAGAGAGACAAGCCCTGGGGTTTCCCTCTTAGACATGGTGTGTGTGGAATGTGTGGCTCACGCCTTTGATGTCCCAGAGCTGCTAGATGAAGTTCCATGGGGATTAGGGGTGACTTATGATGGTAGAATAGACTTGGGGCCTGACAAAATCAGTCAGCAGGCCCAGAGTAGCTCTTTGTTTCTACCATTGATCATTGTGTCCACCTAACCAGTATGTAAACATTTGCTGATGAGCACTTACTGTATGGTAGGTCCCAGCGTCTAACAGCAAACAACATATAAATCCAGCCTCAAGGAATGACTAGTGGAGGCTGTGACAGTAGCATTGGAAGAGCTCAGTGACTAAGGCCAGTACAAGGTCTGGGGGAACATAGAGGAGGGCTTCATGTACAGTCTTTAGGGATGGGTCAGCAAAAGGAGATGAGTGGCAGGAAGCAGGGGAAGGTTGCAGGATGACACATTTTGGGGCCAGGTTGGGATAATGTGAAGGGAGGGAGTGCTGAGAGGAGCAGCAGGAGAAGCAGACACCAGGCCGCCTAGGCCCCTGTGAGCCATGTGTGGGGAATGTTTACTGCCAAGGCAGCGAAGCCATTTGGCCAAGGAGTCACACAGAGGAAGAGGATTTAAAAGTCTCTCTGAAAGTGGCACTGTGGCTCAAGTGGTAGAGCACTCACCTTGAGCTGAAGAGCTCAGGGATAGTGCTCAGTCCCACAGTTCAAGCCCCATGATCGACAAAAAAAAAAAAAAAAAAAGTAAAAGTCTCTCTGGTGGCTTCTAGAGAGCACTGGCAGATGTAGCTGGGGTTGCTGTGGGAAATGTGTGGGGAGCTCTTGGAGTAGTCCTAGTGTAGTGGATGGAGGCCTTAGCCTGGGTAGAAGCAGCAGGGATGAACCTAAGTATCAGATTTGAGTCATGGAGGCAGGTGCTTAGTTTTGAGGTCTGACTGACATAGGAGTTGAGGGTGATGACTATTGAGTGTAAGTGCCAGTTTCGGGGGATAGTGAACCTACTTTCCTTGACTCCTTAGGTAGTTTCTGGGGGTAGGGCATGTCTTCTGATCAGTTATTCTGTTTGCTAAATGTGCTGAGGTTAGTAGAGGTCCTGGTAAAGATGAAGATCTTAAAATCCAATCCTATTGGTCTAGCTGGGGAGGATCAAGGCCCATTGAGGCTGGGTTGGGGAAAGAAGGAGGCTAGCTTTTTTTTTTTTTGTCAGTTGTGAGGCTTGAATTCTGGGTCTGGGCACTGTCCCTGAGCGGTTCAGCTCAAGGCGAGTGCTCTACCAGCTTGAGCCATAGCGCCATTTCCCCTTTTCTAGTGGTTTATTGGAGATAAGAGTCTCACCGACTTTATTGCCCGGGCTAGCTTTGAACTGTGATCCTCAGATCTCAGCCTCCTCAGCAGCTAGGATTACAGGCCTGAGCTACTGGTGCCCAGCTGGCTCTTCTTTTAATATATCTTCATTTAACTCTAAAGTTAATATGGTTATCCCTTGTCTGTCAGCCAGAGGAAACTGACTGATGTGGATACCTCTTCAGTAAGTATTGATTCCCTGCTTCTGAGGATGTAGCAGGAGGGAAGTTGTTTTTTGTTTTGTTTTTGAGTTTCTACTAGGACTTGAGCTCTCGGCCTCCTGCTGGCATTCTACCACTTGAGCCACACCTCCACTTCCAGCTTTTTGCTAGTTAATTAATTGGCAATGAGTCTTGTGGATTTATATGTATGGGCCAGCATTGACCACAATTCTCAGATCTCAGCCTCCTGAGTAGCTAGGATTATAGATCTGAGCAACCTGTGCCCACCTGGGATAGGGTTGTTTGTTTGTTTTGCCAGTCCTGGGTCTTCAACTCAGGGCCTGGGCTCAAGGCTGGCATTCTACCACTTGAGCTACAGCACCACTTATGGCTCTCCCCCTCCTCCCCCTTGTATATATGGTACTGAGGAATCAAACCTAGGGCTTCATACATGCCAAGCAAGCTCTCTTCCACTAAGCCACATTCCCAGCCTATGAGATGGGATTTTAAAGGAAGGCTACCACTCCCTCCCAATCAGGTCTGGTTTCTTTTTAAAAATTTTTTTTTGTCGGTTATGGGGCTTGAACTCTGGGCCTGGGCGCTGTCCCTCAGCTCTTCAGCTCAAGGCAAGCACTCTACCACTTGAGCCACAGCGCCACTTCCAGTTTTCTGGTGGCTTATTGGAGATAAGAGTCTCATGGACTTTTCCTGCCTGGGCTGGCTTTGAACTGCAATCCTCGGATCTCAGCCTCCTGAGTAGCTAGGATTGTAGGTGTGAGTCATCGGCACCTGGCAGGTCTGGTTTCTGAGATGTGATATTTCTGCTTCTCCTGTGGTGAAAGCCTTCAAGACTGTCAGGTTCCTCAAGAGCTTGTCTGTCTCAACTACCACCATGCCCAGAAGAGTTTGTGAGGAGCAAGTTTCAATGGAAAGGGCACGGGCTTTGGAGCCAAGAAAGGATGTTATGAAAGTTGCCAAACCTTTTGAACCTCCTTATATACATTCCCTCAATA